CCCCCCCTCCCCAGGGGCCAGCCTCGCCTGACGCGCCCTGTCAGCCCTTTTCTCCCCGCCCGCCTGCCCCGGCCCCTTCCGTGTGAGCCATGCAGGACGACTTCACCTCGCCGTCGGCCCCGTCGACAGCCCGCGCCTCGATGCTCCGCGCGCATGGGATCCACCACCACCACCACCACCACCATGGCCCGGCCTCCCCCTCGGGGGATGGCTACCTCAGCACGTCGGGTGGCCACCATTCCCTATCGCGCGGCGGTCCGGCCGACCCGCTGGCCAGCCTGCTGGACGAGGAAACCGACCTGACGCAGACGCCGCCGCCGATGCCGCCGTCGCCGCCGTCGACCCCGGCCTCCGGGCCTGGCCCGGGGCTGGGCATCGGTGGCCCCGGGGCCGGGCCGCGCATGGCCGGCTTCCGGGACATCCGGTCTCCCTCGGCGCAGCGGAATTTCCCCGGCGCGTCGGCCGCCGCCGGGCATGGGCCAGGCGCGCCGCCGCTCGGCTCGGCGCCCGGCGCCCGAGCCGAGCCCTACATCAATTCCCCGGATCATGCGGGCATGCTTTTCAGCGGGGCCGGGGCCGGGGTCGGCTCGCCGGCCTCGCCGGCTGCCGCCCGGCGGTCCTTCTACAGTGTGCCCTCCTCGACGCCGCAGGGGGACGACGGGTCGCAGGCCGCCACCGGCAGCCCGGGCTCCGGCCCCTCGGCCGGCGGCCACCCCGGGTCCCGGTCATACTCCTCCGGTGCCGGCGGGGCCACCCACCAGCAGCGCCGCCCGATTGGCTTTTCCAACCTGCGCTTCGGTAGCCGGGGCGCCGACGCGGAGGCTTCCTCTTCTTCTTCTTCGGCCTCCCTGGCTGGCACGGCCCCGGCCTTGGGGGCGTCCCGTCAGCCGCGCCCGGTCCCGGTGGCCGGCGGCGGCGGCGGCTCCTCCCGGCTGGCGGCGGCGGCCAGCGCCGACATCCCGCCGCAGGCCCCGGCCACGGCCTTTTTTAACCGCTTCAATCCCACACACCTGGACCCCTCGGCGGCCGGCCGGCGTGGCGGCGGCGTCGCCGCCGACATGGACGCCGACTCGATCCCCCGACGCGGCCCGGTTCTCTTCTCCTACGATGACGACGACGAGGACGACGACAGCAACACCGCCAAGGGTGGCGCCGGCGGGCGGGCCCATGGCGGCACCGGCTCCCGGTCCGGGCGCGGCCCCGATGCCAGTGCCTCTTCCGGGGCCATTCTTCCCTGGGGCCCTGGGCCACACTTCCTCCGGCGTTCCTTCTCCATCCTCACATCGCAGCTCCATGTCTTCTTCCACGCTTCGCGGGAGACCATCCTTTCGGCCGGGTACCTGCTGCACCCGCAGTCTCTCCTGTCAGCCACCCATGGCGTGACCAATGTCTTCACCCAGCTCCTTGGGACTTTTCTGGCGCCCTTCTCCAAGCCGCAGGTGACTGTCGTGCGTGCCGGTCCGCTTCTCGCGGCTTTCTTTTTCCCCTTTCAAATCATGCCTCTCGCCGTGTTCCCCTTCTCCTGTCTCTCTCCCTCCCTGCGCTGACCGTGTTGTTTCTCTTGCTCCCTTGTTTCTCTTGCCCCTTTCCCCGGTCTACCTCCGCGCCATGGCCGTGCTGTTTCTCTTTGCTCCTCCCCCTTTCCCCCTTGTTTTCTCTCCGTCCCCCGTCCTCCTCTCTCCCTCCCCTCCCTGGGGCGGCCCCCTACGTCGGATGGGCTCCCGGTTGGCGCCGCAGCAAAAGAAGAAGGAGCACCTCGACCGCCAGCGCTGGGCCAAGCGGTATAAGGCCATCAATCGCGACCTCTTCGAAGAGAGCAGCCAGCCCCCCCTGCTGCCGGAGAGCAATGCCCTCCCCCCGCCGATGGACTTCTTCTCCGGGCCGGGCCCCGGCTCCGGGTTTGGCAGTGCCAGTGGCAGCAGCGCCTCCGGCTCGCGGTCCGGCTCGCGGTCCGTCTCGCGATCCGGCTCACTGGAGCACCTGTCGGCCGAGGCGGCCGGGCACTTTTACGGCAGCCCCACCGCCGGCGGCGGCATGGGCGGCCCCACCGCCAGCACCATCGGAATCGACCAGTCCTTGGCCCATGCGGCCGCATATGATCCCTTCGGCGGGAGCGCCTTCTCGCATCACCCCATCGCGGGCTTGGAGCAGCCCAGCTCGCCGATGGGCGCCGGCGCCGGCGCCGGTCCCTCCACACCGGCGGCCGCCAATCGGCGCCGGTCCACCTTCGGGTCGCCCTTCCACCACCACCACCAGCACCACCACCACCACCATCACCACCATGGCAAGGAGGAGGACTTGCTCGGCAGCACCGGCGCCACGGCAACCCCGCGCGCCGGGCCGTCCGCCTCCTCCACCTCGCTGCCGCACTATTCGGCCTCTTCGCCGTCGCTGATGACCACTCCGGTGCAGCAGCACCACCGGCGCTCGATGAGCGGCAGCAGCGCCGGCAGCACCGAGGGCGGCCAGTTCGACCTGTCCCCCGCCCCCTCCTCCGAGGCGGTGGTCGCCTACGAGCAGGACCCGGCCATCGACCTGGAGCTGGACTTCCTCGTTATGCAGTTGACGGCCAACATCCGTCCCGCGTCGCCGGTTGCTTGAGCGAATCACCGCAAAGCATGCATATGCCCTTCCTTTTTTTTTTTCATACATGTGTCTGTGGGGTATCATCAGGCAGGAGGGACATGCTTCCCCCCCCCCTCCCCCCTCCCTCTTCCTTTGGTCGTCCTTTCTTTCTTTCCGGCGCACACATCCGGCCTGTCCTCTTTCTTCTCGGTGTGCGTGTGTGCATGCTGCCCGAAATACCGATATCCCGTATCCCTCCACTGGCCTATGTGTGTGTGTGTCTTTGCATCTTCCTCTCTCTCTCTCTCTCTCTCTTTTGTTTGCCTGCTTTTGCGCCATCTGCATTGTCCGTGTTCGCGCACGCCGGGCCCGAGGCTGTCTCAGGGGGGAGGCGCGGCCGGGCCGGGACAGGGGATTTCGGGGGCGCACACACCGGCAGTCACGCAAAGCCGATCAAGATCACATGCCCCATAATGGGGGCACCTGATGGCTCCCGGAAGATCGAACGGCAACCCGTGCCCATTCGCCCGATCTGTTCGCCCGTCCGCCCATTCGCCATCCTGGGTTCTCCCCTGGACACCTCCCCCGATCGGGGCGGATAGCTCTCGATCGGCCCCCTTCCGACCCCGGGCGAGAACGGACGGCCCCTGTTGGTCCCGCCCCGCCGGGGCCGGCCGGTCCGCCTGCCCTCGGCTCAGGAGTGGGGCCGGCTCGCCCGGGCAATTGTTTGTTTTCGTTGCGCCCGGCCCGGTGTTGACACTCCCGCGGACCACACGAGACGCCCCCGTCCTCTGCCCCCCTACCTGGAGCGTCCCGGTTGTCCCGTTCCCCGTCCCGAGGGTGTCCAGGCCGAAGGCTGGAGCCAAAAGGCCGGAGGTGATTGAGGGGCATGCTGTCCGGGCCGGGGCAGATCGCCCTCTCGACAATGCTGACCCGACCAGGGCGCATCCAAAAGCATGTTGCATCGCGTGTACGGGTCCCTGCCTTGCGTCCTTCGACCCAGACAGAGAGATAGAGATAGAGATAGAGAGAGGGATGTCCGCGCATATGTGTGCGTCTGTGTGTTCTTGCGCGGTGGGTCCCGGCCATTGCCAACATCCTCGGGGGGAGGAGGGGGACGGAGGAGGGGGGGGGGGGAGTCGGCGCATTTTTCGGCCAGCTCCTTTCGTCCGCACGCTCTCCATGTGGTCTCTATCATTCCCCTGTCCGGATCACAGTTTGCCTCTTGCCTCGCGTTCCCCCGGACTATCGCCGCATAACGTCCCCATTGTCCGCCGTTCTATCCTCCACCACACACACCTCCCGACAGCGTTCCGCTTTGGTGCCTCACCGCCATGGGCGAAAGTAGCTTGCGCCCCACTCGGGGCGCCCGGCCCCAGGGCCCCCTCCTCCTGCTGGCCCTCCTGAGCGCTCTGCTGCTGGTGGCCGGCATGCCAATGGCCGCTCGCGGCCAGGGCGGCATCTGTCACCACGACACCACCACCCGATCGGACTGCGGCTACCTTGGCATCACGGCGGAGGAGTGTCTCGGTCGCGGCTGCTGCTGGGGCGCCGTCAAGCCGGTGCGTTTCCCCCCGCGGCCTGGCCAAGCAATGGGGGACCCATTTGGCACTGCCCCCCTCGCCTGGCGGTGTGCCTGTCCTGACCCCCACCCCCCCGCCCCCCAGCTGCTACCGCCGCCCGCCCACCAATGCCCCCTGGTGCTTCCACGCCAACACGCGTGCCGCCGAGTGCGGCGAGTATGTCATCCAGCCGAACACCCTGGCCACCCGCAACAACGGCTTCTCCGTCGGCCTCACCTACAAGGGAAACAAGTGTGTATCAAGTGCCAGGTCGCCCTGTGCGCCGGGGGTCCTCGCGGCTGCTGACCGTGCCCTTCGTCCGCCCACCCACTCACTGCCCCTTCCCCCCCCCCCCCCCCCCCCCCCCCCCCCCCCCCCCCCCCCCCCCCCCCCCCCCCCCCCGTTTAATCGCCTCCCCTCTCCTTGGACCCCGCTGAGGTAGCTGCACACACTACGGCCCGAGCGCCGAGCAGCTGGCCGTGGAGGTTGTGTACCAGAACCCGGAGCGCGCGCGCATCCTCATTTCCGACCCTCGTACCAGGCGCTGGGCCGTGCCCCAGTCCATCGTCCCCCGGCAGCGCCTTCTACTGGGCGCCGAGGGCGACCTGGGCCCGGCGTCTGATGCCAAGGTCAACTCGAAGATCACCGTTCTCCTGGGGAGCACCACCCCGGGGCACAGCTTCAGCCTGGTGGCCGCGCGGACGGACACCCTGGCGGCCGAGGCCTCTGGCGGGTTCCTCCTGGACACTCGCCACGGCGGGGCCTCGGCCTCCGGCGGCTGGGATGCCGAGTGCCCGGGCCCGGTGCCGAAGTCCGGCGCCCTGGGCACGCAGTGTGTCCCCCTGGAGCCGCCGCGTAATGTGACCTCCGGTCCCTTCCCGCCGACGGTGTTCAAGAACCAGTTCATCCAATTTACCACCCGCGTGGGGCCGAAGTCCTCCATGTGCGAGCAGTTGGCGCGCTTGTGCTCGGCCTCCCTGTTTGTGCTTCCCTGTCTGTTCTTTTTTTTTTTTGCCAAACTGACCGGTCTCTCGGTCCTTTGCCACCCTCTCGGCCTCTGGCCTACCTTCGGCGGATTCATGCGTGCTCTTGCGCAGCTTTGGCCTCGGCGAGCGGGTGCGCCCGCTGAAGCTCGAGCGCAACCGCCAGTACACCATGTGGAATGCCGACGAGGCCATGCCGGTCAATGACAATGTCTACGGCAGCCACCCCTTCTACATGGAGCTCCAGCCGGATGGCACTGCCCATGGCCTGGTACGCAGTGACACCATCGCTTCGCTTCGCTTCGGGCCCCGGTGTGGGTCTTCCCCCGGGGCCGCGCCCATAGGGGGCCTCCTTTCTAAGACCCCGGCTACCAGCTCTTCCTGAGTTCCAACGGCATGGATGTCGAGCTGCGCGAGGAGTCCCTCTCCTTCAATGTGATTGGCGGACTGGTGGAGGTGTACCTCTTCGCCGGGCCGACGCCGATGGACGTCGTGCGCCAATACACCGACCTCATCGGCAAGCCCTACATGCTGCCCTACTGGGCCCAGGGCTGGCACCAGTGCCGGTACGGGTACAAGTCCCTGGCCGAGGTGCAGGAGGTCGTGCGCCAGTACCGCGAGCATCGCATCCCGCTGGAGACCATGTGGATTGATATCGAGTACGTTTCACATGGGGGCATGCATTTGGCAAGCGGTCCATTCTCCCTCTCTCTCTCTCTCTCTCTCTCTCTCCCTCCCCCCTCCTTCCCCTTCTCTTGTGCGCGAGCACACACCATGGGCAGCATCCTGACCCTGACCTCCTCCCACTGTCGCTGCTGATGGCGCCCCGTCCCCCGCCTGGCCCCGCCTCGCACCCGCGCCGATCCTGCCCGCCCTCCCCCCCCCCCCCAGCTACATGGACGCATGGAAGGATTGGACTTTCGACCCTGTGCTCTTCCCCCAGGAGGAGGTGGCCGCCTTCGCGGACACCTTGCACCAAAATAAGCAGCGCATGGTGCTCATCGTGGATCCCGGCATCAAGGTTGAGAAGGGGTGCGTTGTGGGCGGCCCACGTTCCGCCGGCTGCCCAGCTCCCTGTCCCCGGGACCCCTGTCATTGCCGATGTTGACGCGTTCATGGATGTGCATATGTCACCCGCCATTTCCCCCTCCCCACCCCGCCCTGCCTCGGCCGGCGCTTCCTCACCGCGGGGCTAATCACCCGCTGGCAGCTACAAGTACTATGACGACGGCCTGCGCGAGGGGGTGTTCATCTTGGACTCCTCGACCGGTCTGCCGGCAGTGGGCATGGTCTGGCCCGGGTTCACGGTCTTCCCGGACTTCGTGGACAACCCGGACACCGACCGCTATTGGAACCAGTCGATCGCGGACTTCCTGAACATGGTCCCGGTAGATGGTATGTGTGCCCCCCCCTCCCCCCCCCCCTCCCTCCCTCCCCCCGCTCGGCCGCTTGGCTCCGTCGCTGGGTTTGCGGCATCTGACACCTCTCCATGCGCAGGGCTCTGGGTGGATATGAATGAGATTGCCTCCTTCTGCACGGACGGCGCCAACTTGGACTCCTGCTCGCACCCGGTCTTCCCGGATGTGCCCTCCTTCAACCTCTACAACCCGGAGATGGATCAGTACATCAGTGCGGCGGAAAGCGCGCGTGCGGCCCTCCACGGCTTCGGCCCGCACCCGGTGTCAACCAATTACAAGCCGTATGCCGGGCTGGATGGCTTCGATGCGCGGAATCCCCCGTACCACATCAACAACCGCGGGTCCAACCTGCCGCTCAACTTCAAGACCACCGAGCCGGACGCCATTCTCCCCTTCACCTCGGCCCTGCAGTATGACGCGCATAACATCTATGGCGTGGCTGAGGTGCGTGCCTTTTGTGTCCCCTTTTCGCCGTGCCCCTCCCCCTGCCCTGCTTGCCGGCGGTGCCACCGCCCTGGACTGACGCGTTCGGCCCCGGCCTCGGCATGGCCATGCTCGGCGTCTCTCCCGGTCTTTCCCTCGCTTTCCCGCCGGCATGCAGACTATCTCCACGCGCAAGGCTCTGGAGCGCATCACCGGCAAGCGTGCCTTTGTCTTGAGCCGGTCGACCTTCCCGGGCACCGGTGCCCACGCCGGTACGCCAATGCCCCCTGCCAGGGACCATGTGTCCTCCTTTCCTGCGCGCGCACACGCAGAAGCATCCGCACCCGCGCTGACCTCCGCCTCGGGTGTCCCCTTGTCACGCCTGTCCATATGTGCGTGTGTGTGTGTGTGTGTCTGTGACTCGGTTTGCCAAGGCCACTGGACGGGTGACAACTTCTCCACTTGGGACCACCTGTACCTGTCGATCCCGGGCATGCTCCAGTTCCAGCTGTTTGGCATCCCCTATGTCGTACGTGCATTGGCGCCCACTGACGCCCTTCCCTCTGGCCCGGGGCCTGCGACACCCGGCCGGCGTCGCCTTCATCCCCCTGCTGACGTGCTGCCTTTTCTCTCTCTTTCTCTCTCTCTCTCTCCCTCTCTCTCCTCGGGGCGACCACCTCACCGCGAATGACTCACCAGGGGGCCGATATTTGCGGCTTCATCGGCAACACCAACGAGGAGCTGTGCGCTCGGTGGACTCAGCTCGGCGCGTTCTATCCCTTCGCCCGGTGCGTGCACGCCCTCCGAGGCTGGCCTCAAGGAAAAGCCCTCTTTCCTGACACGCGCACGCGTGCACCCGGACACCGCCCCCCCCCCCCCCCCCCCCCCCCCCCCCCCCCCCCCCCCCCCCCCCCCCC